TTATAATAAACATCCATTCGATATTTTAGTTGTATATTCTCTTCACATGTCGCACTTGTCAACACAGATAAATGGGACATTTTGTTCTTAAAAATTATCTCCTCCTTTTATGACATCTACCACTTTGTCCTGCATTTGAAATCTTCATTTAACTCCTGCGGCTGTTTACAAGGCATCTTACAGCAAAGATGAAAATATACAATTCTGTCCCATATCTTTTGTATGTTTGGTATACTTTGACTAAGTGTATTTGTTTGCCTGAAATTTACAGATAATCTTCTAAGGCTATGGCCCACATTATTCCTGCACAAGTTGTGTGACATAGAGTAGGATGCCAGAAACCAAACTGTCAACGAGTGTGTGAGAATATTATTCAAAACATTTGGATTTTGCACACAGATATTCTTTGGTCTGGGAGTGTACGATGCATGTGTATGTGTAAAGATTTTCAAAATGCTACACATACATACACATCGAATGTAAGGCATTTATTTGTGTGTTTGAGATTTATGTTTTGTGTTCATTTGCATAAACTAAACTAAAATAGAGACAGTGAAAAATGAAATATTTGTAGGCTGGGAGGGGGAAAACATTGTGTTGTAGGAGATTTTTTGTAATCAAACATGACTTATTTGGGGAAAAGAGATTCTGTGGAATATTTTCGGTTTAGGAATTTGATAAAGATAAGAGCAGGGAAAAGATAAGAGTCGGCCATGGTCGGTCAAAAACGACAATGCTGTTTTAGATTTAGATGCCAATTTATAAGTTATCTTTCTGAAGCTCCACACCATCCTGATGATTGTAGATTATTTCGAGACGCATAATTAGGGACATGTCCATCCATTGTAAAGCCTTAAAAAATACAAAAACAAATAAATGAAGAAAAACAAGTTAAAAAGCCGTAAGTTCGGCCGGGCCGAACTTTGAATACCCTACACTATTTGGAACGAATTTGGAAATTTTCAAATAAAAAATCCTTAAAAAATTCTGTTACAATTTTAAAAATAGCGAAGATAGTAGTTATATTGGAGTGTATATGACGTGGGTAAGCCATTACCATATTCAAATTCGAAACTTGAATTAAACGCTCAATAATGTAGGTAAAATCATCAAAATATCGTATATAGAGTGGTACCGTTATATCGGAGCTGTGCGAAGACCTGGACCAACATAGACAATTTTCTGTCACAAGCTATAGCATCCATTACGAATTTCAACTACGACATCTCAAACAATTTCGGTGAGTATTGCACCTAAAATCGTCAAAATACCGAATATAGGAAGGTACTGATATATGGGGCCTCTACGAAGACCTGGACCTGCATAGACAATTTTCTGCCACAGACTGAAGTTCCCATTACGAACTTTAAATGAGTAATTTGAAACAATTCTGGTGAATAATGATGCTAAAATCATCAAAAAACCGAATATTGGGAGATACCGTCATATGGATGCTATATTGAGACGTGGACCTGCATAGACAATTATCTGTCATAGGCTGTAGTATTGAAACAATTCCGTTGAGTAATGTCGCTAAAATCATCTAAATACCGAATATGAAAAACGTGGACGAAAACGTGCCTACTGGAAAAATAAACATGTGTGCAAAATTTTAGCCTTCTATCTCAATTCGTTCGAAAGATAGGGTATAAAAAAGAAATAGATGAAAAATATCAATTCAAAGTTGGGCCGGACGTAACCTGTTTTACTCTTCACAGGAAAAAAAATTATTTTTTTTTAAATCAGCGTTTTTTTTTCGGTGAAAATTAATAAAATAGTCTCAGCTTTAAAAAATTTGCGGTATTTTGGCCCATTCCCGTCGAAGCACTTGGTTGAGGTGATCGACACTTTGGTATTTTTTAGTGCCAACCTTGCTTTCCAAAATATACCAAACACAATAGTCCAACGGATTGGTATCCGGAGATTATAGTGGCCAATGTGCGATAAAAAAGAAACGAGGAACCTGATTTTGTAACCGTTCTTGGGTGGTGCGTGCTGAGTGCGATGGTGCTGAGTCCTGTTGGAATGTCCAAGGTCTGCGGCCAAAATGTTTGCATGCCCAAGGCTTTAATACACCATCCACAATATTTTCGCAATAACTTTCGGCATTTATTCTGATGCCAAGGTCGATTAATACGAGCCCACACCATCACCATGGCCGGCGCTTGAGTTCTGGTTGCCAACTGAAGGTGCACATTTTCAGCTGACATTTTCAGTTCTAGGTCTCGTGCCAAAATGGATAATATTGGTCAACTCCATCAAGTACCTCTCCCACAAAGGGACAAAATTTTGAATAATTATAACTCTTATAAAATATGATGTAAGAGTCTGATATGTGTGAAATCAGACTCATACATCATATTTTATAAGAGTTATAATTATTCAAAATGAACCCAAAATCTGGTATCTTTATGAACCCAAAATCTGGTAAGTAAGACTGAACCTCTCGGTCTACTCCCTCTGGTACCTCCACTACAAACGCTCAACATTTTGAATATCCATGAAGTTCATAAAAAGCGAAATCAACATCCGATTCCACTCCAAACATGGTACATCTCAATATGTTCATCAACACGAGATCTGTTGTAAAGAAGCTATTCTTTTGCTACCTGCCCCACATAGGCTTTAGCATTTTGAAAAACACAACGTTCAAAGAAAGCGAAATAAGCATCCAACTCTCTTCAAATTTCACACATACAAACATTTTAGAGAGGTCAAGAGTTTGAAAATTTAAAATAATCGAACATTGGCTGAGGGTATACATCTGTCGGCAAAACCGACCGACAATTTTCTACTTGTTATGATGAAATTTCATATTTAAATTTCGTATGGGGTACTACAACTTATGACAGAAAATTAAAATTAGGCTTCACATTACGGTTTTCATCTCAGCGGAATTTTTCTTACTTTTTTTATTTCCTCCACCTTAGTATCAAGGGTATAAAAAATTTGTTTGTAACACCTCGAAATACACATTTTAGACCCCACAAAGTATATATATTCTTGATCAGCATAAAATTCTATGTCGATTTAGCGATGTCTCTAGCTTCCAAACGAATTGAATTAGATTGATAAAATTTTGTTCAAATGTATTTGATGTCTGCATAACTTTGAGTATTGAAAATGGGCCATCTAGGTCCACGTTTTGGTATAGCCCCCATATGACGGTACCTCCCGATATTCGGTATTTAGATGATTTAAGCGACATTATTTACCGGAATTGTTTCAAATTTGGGTATTGAAGTTCGTAATGGATACCACAGCCTATGACAGAAAATTGTCTGTGCAGGTCCACGTCTTCGTAGAGCCCCCATATAACGTTACCTCCCGATATTCGGTATTTTAATGATTTTATGGACATTTTTTCACCAGATTTGTTTAAAATTCGGTATTTGAAGTTCGTAATGTATACCACAGCCTGAGACAGAAAATTGTCTGTGCAGGTCCACGTATTCGTAGACCACCCATATAACGGTACCTCCCGATATTCGGTATTTTAATGATTTTATGGACTTTTTTCACCAGAATTGTTTCAAATTTGGTATTTGAAGTTCGTAATGGATACTACAGCCTACGACAGAAAATTTTCTAGGCAGGTCCAGGTCTATGTATAGGCCCCATATATCAGTACCTCCCTATATTCGGTATTTTGACGAGTTTAGATACAATATTCACCGACATTGTTTGAGATGTCGTGTTTGAAGTTCGTAATGGGTGCTACAACCAGTGACAGAAAATTGTCTGTGCAGGTCCAGGTCTTCGCACAGCACCGATATAACGGTAGCTCCCTATTTACGATATTTTGATGATTATAGCTACATTATTCACCGTTTGTTTCAAGTTTCGAATTTGTATGTGGTAATGGCTTATGACAAGCAATGCCTATGTAGGTCCACGTCGTATAGACCCCAATATAACGGCTATATTCGGAATTTTTAAAATTTTAACAGAATTTCTTAAGGATTTTATTTTTTGAAAATTTCTAAATTCGTTCCAAAAGGTGGAGGCCGCACTTAATGCTTTTTAACATGTTTTATGATGAAATTTCATATTTGAATTTCGTATGGGGTACTACAACTTATGACAGAAAATGTTCTATGCTGGTCCACGACTTCGTATAGGCTTCATATTACGATTTTCATCTGAGCGGTATTTTTCCTAATTTTTTTTTTAATTTCCAATTTCCCTACAAATATTTTCACGGTATTCAATGTTTGGCCCGTTCGAACTCAGCTGCCTTTTCACTTGTTTAATAATGAAAAACAGACAAAAAATATAATATTCCTATTGAATTCCCTTTGAACTTTTACCAATTGAATTATAATCCCATTTTCAAATCCAAACTACATTCATTTTCATATTCAATCCCATGTGTCAATTGCTCTTCCACATATATTTTGTCAACATGCGATACAAATTCATAAAAATCTTTTCGGAGATATTGAAAAATAATATTTAGTCAGGTGTCACACACTGCTGAAACTAACACTATTTTTTTTTCATTTAGTTTTGTTATGATGTATATGAATATCTGGCAATGTGCTGAAAACAATTTCCCATACCGAGATTCCACTTACTCCCATCCGCTCAAATCTATTTCCAGCAAAACCCATTTCCATGAAATAGAATCTCCCAACCGTATATCCAAATTCAAATAAAAATTAAATAACACAAAATATCATCATAACAAAAACAATGAAATCCATTAAAAGAACAATTTGTCACGTCATGCACACACCGCGACAATGCCCACCACCAATGAAATGAAATTTATTTTACTTTAATTTATTTTACGGCGTTGGCAAGCAGGCGTCGTACTTGTCGTCGGCATTTGTTTGCATAGCAAAGCAGTTTTCTACCAACCGAAAATGTCATTAATTTCAATTGGTGGCGTTGCTGTTGTTGTTATTTTTATTAAATTTGTATGTCTTTGTTGTTGTTATTGTTGCTGTTCCACTTGATGAAAATTTAATATCTTATTCTACGCTTTCTCTTTGCAGATGGTTACCCAAATCCGCCATGAGGCCGGTGGGCCCCGATACCTCACACAATGACTGCATACTGGTCGTTGGTGTGTCCCGTCCTAAATTAGCCGTAGCCTTTCTTACCGTTATGCTGATATCCTTATTTCTGACATTTCACGTTCTGTACGACAGTGCGGTCTATAATATTCAAGCGGCCCAGGCGGTGCATGAACATCGCCGTTTGGCTTTAATCAATTCCAATGGCATTAGTGGTTTGCCATCAGGTGTGGCGGGCGGTGGCGGCGGCGGTGTCAACGGTGGCACAGCTGGCAACGGTAATCGCTTTAATCACTTGCCCGAGGATTACACGCATAATAACAAGCATGCGGGTGATATATCATCATTATCATCATCGGCATCATCATCATCTTCTTCGTCATCATCGTCGTTATCAACGCCCAATCAACTGATAAGTCATCCAATGGTATTCCCTTCGAATCGTGTACATTTTCCTAAAACCAGTCGACGTTTACCACAGGTAAGTTGCAACACATACAAATACACACCAACACATACACGCACATATAAATATTGTTATGATTAACATAAGACATACTGTTGGAATAAACAAAAATCTGTTCGGATAAGAGCGATATTCGAAAATAAGCCTACTGCTTTAAGCTGAGGTTTTTGATATCAGAATTTTGAAGGAAATACCTGTGAGCTTATGTTTACTCAAGCAAAATCCAATAAGCGAATTTTGTTTATATTTGATTTAATTAAAATCACAGGAATTCAATTGAATTACTTCGAAGTGAATTTAAATGGAATCAAGGGCGTATGAATAATTAAATGTTTGGAGTCTCAATAAAGTATACGCCAACATAATTGAATAGGTAATTACATATTTTTAAAGAAACAATACAATTATTCTGATAATAATGGGAAAAATGTAGTAAATTGTGAATGTAAGTAACACAAGTAAAAAATCTGCAGGTTTGGAACTATATTGGCAATTAAAAAAAAATAAAATAAAAAAAAATAAATAAATTAAATCCATTAAAAATTCTGTTAAAATCTTAAAACCAGTAAAATAAGTCCTAAAGTTGGGCGGAACCGACTTTATTATAATTTAGTAGAGCACTACTTAACAATTAAAAGCTTTTATGGGAGAATTCAATCATACTCGCTATGATTATAATTATAATTTAAAGTTCAAAGGACTAAATATGCCGAAGCATTTGTATCTTTTAAATTCGGACTTGAAATCAGATAAAAAAAATATATATATGGGAGCTATATCCAAATCTGAACCGATCTCAATAAAATTTGGCAAATATATTTCTGAGCCGTATTTGATATATTTCCTTTAATATCTTTGATACGGAGTGCATATTACGGTTGTGGGGGGCAAATACAACAAATTGGATGAACAATATATATGGGAACTATAGCTATATCTGAACCGATTTCATTTCAAATGTGGCATACTTATTTTCAGGCCTAATTTGGTTGTATGTGCAAAATTCCATACTATTCGGAGTGATATTACACGTTTGGTGCACAATTAAAGGCAAATCGGACGAAGATATATAAGGGAGCTATATCTCAATTTTTACCGATTATCTCCAATTTCAATAGAGTTCGTCCTTGAGCTAAACAAATGTTGTTCGGAAGATTTCAACTCAATTGGATAATAAATGCGGCCTGAGTTTTGTTCACAAGAATACATTGACAGACGGCCGGACGGACTGACATGCATAAATCAACTCAGAAAGTTATTCTATTGAGATCCTCAAAAGTAACTATGGGTCTATCTCGCTTTCTTCTCCATGTTACAAACAAATATACCAAGACATAATACCCTTACCACTACGTGGTGTAGGGTATAAATACCGAATGTGGTCGTTACATTAGGGTCTATAACTTTTGTCATAAACCATTACAATGTTCAAATGCGAAACTTGAATAAAAAATCGGAGAATAATGTGGCTAAATTAATCAAAATACCGAACATAGGGAGGAGGACGTGGATCTACACAGACAATTTTTTTTTGTCATAGGCTGTAATATCCGTTACGAACTATAAATACCAAATTTGAAACAATTCCGGTGAATAATGTCGCCAAAATCATAAAAGTACCGAATATCGGGACTGCCGCAAGCTGTAGTATCCGTTACGAACTTCAAATACCAGATTTTAAACAATTCCGGTGAATAATGTCGCTAAAATGATCAAAATACCGAATATGGGGAGGTACCGTTATATGAGGGCTATACGAAGACGTGGACCTGCACTGGCAATTTCCTGTCACAGGCTTTAACATCCGTTACGAACTTCAAATACCAGATTTTAAACAATTACGGTGAATAATGTCGCTAAAATCATCGAAATACCGAATATCGGAGGGTTACGTTATATGACGGCTATACCAAAACGTAGAGCGATATACCTCATTTTCAATACCAACCATACTAGACATAATACAAATTGTACTGCCAAATTTCGAAGCTTTACGACACATTATTGTGGGATGTATCGTGATTTCAAAAGACAATCAGACAGACAGACATACAGACGTACATCGTTAAATCGACTTAAAATTTTATGCTGATCATGAATCTATACACTTTATGGGGTCTATGACGAATATTTATGAATGTTACAAAGGGTATGACAAAGTTAACATATCCTCCTTTTTAAGGTGGAGGGTATAAAAATTGCGTTCTCCTGGGTGCTATTCTCGTTGTATTGCTGACCACATCTTCAAACCCAACTTCTTCTTGTTTTCATCACAGTTTATCTTAGGCCGGTTTCATTGAGTCCCAGCGGGAAGTGCTCATAACCTCTTCATCCGACATCTTACTGGACTCATACCTAGTTGGGAATTGAGGGCAATATTTATGTATTTTTTCATTCATATTATGTATCGAAAGTAATTCTTTATGAGAATTTCCCACCCATCATCCCTTTAGCAACTTTTGCAACAACCCACAACTCCCAACATAAAAAGCAATCGCACTTCTTAATTTGAAACATCGTTTGAATCAGCAGCAATGTATTTACCCCTCAAAGTCATTAATTAATTAGACCGACTCCTTTGGGACAATCTTTTGCACTTTATTTTCAAAAGGCTTCAAATTCCCCGAGTCAACATCTGGAGGAAGCCAAGATGCCTCAATTGCAATTCAAGCCATTACTAACAAACTACCATAACAGAACGCCAACAAAAAACGCTCATTTTAATTAGATTTGTTGCTACAAATTTTATGAAATTGCCCGGCAAAAATGAGAGCAAAAAACCAAAAAATCCCAACTAGCACCTGAAGAACCCTTGTTTTTCGCCAATGAAAAGAAAAAAAAACCAAATGTCATTGTGTCTCCTTGACCTCTTCATTAGTCTAATATCAGAATAATGAGCATCAAAATTAATGGCGGTTTTATGCGAAAAGAAATCAAGAAAGCCAACTGCAGAAAAGGTAAAACGAAGCGAAACGAAACACAAACCAAAAAGAAAATCTTGAGAATAGAAAAATGGAGAAATGGCCAGGTTACTGCAAAATGAACGACAATAAAGGTGCAATGGTATTTTACTCTGTTAAAAAAAATATAATTGCTGTAATTTGCCTGTTTCTTTTTTTTTTTTTTTTGATTTTGCTAATTTCTTTCTGCGGCTTGAGTCCACTTACTAACAGGTGAAAATATTTCCATTGCCTAGAACCAGGAGAGAATGAAAATGGGGAATTGATGTCATTCTCAAAAAAATTGACTAAAATGCCCTAAACAAATTGTGAAATCAGTCTTTTTTTCTATAATATAATATGTTCCAAAAATACTTGAAGAATATTGTATTCTTGTTAATAAAAAATAAAATTTAATGATTAATGCCCCTTAGTAGCCTTCTCATGTCTTACGTGGAATATTTTAATGTTGTCTTATCTATTGCCAATAGATATAGAAATAACCTACGATAGAACAGTGTGGCTTGTTTGTTCGGGATACCGTAGTATTTTGTTGTTTTGTTTATAAAAACAACAATAAAGGGATAAAGCCAGACCATTTTGCAACAACAAAATACTACTGTATCCCGAACAAACAAGCCACACTGTTCTATTAATAGACAAGGCACGGTCGACGAAGGGGTTTTTGTTGTAACAGACAAAACCAACTTACATGGTTATGCTACTTCGTTCAGGCTGAACGAAAGCATAACAAGTGGAGAAAGATGTAAATGTTTATAAGTGCGGTTGTAAGATTTAGAAGACTTTCCAAGAGAATTTTAGTTTTATTTAATTCTTTGGTTCCTCTTCTATTGAGCTTACGATCTCGTCACTTGGGTAAAAAAATGTTTTTTGTCATAGAAGTTATTTTTAAAATAACTTCTGGGGAGAATATCCCAGACAAAAACAAGGGAACTGATGAGGATTGGTGGCTCTTTCCGAAACCTAGGTATTCCCTGCCTTACCCCCTGGTAAACATTACCATCGTTCTAATAAACAAACGTTGTTTTTATAAAAACAACAATAAAGGGATAAAGCCAGACCATTTTGCAACAACAAAATAACCTACGATATATTATTTTTGTTTAATTTTCAATTAATTATTTTTGCACGGGAAACCTTTGTACAAAATTCAATGAAAAACCAAAATATCTTAGTCAAAAGTTTCAGGAATAATATAATGATTAAAGATTTATTTTAGAAAATTCTTAAAAAAAATCTAAAATTTTACAAATCTGCCTAAAATTTAGAATTTTTATACCCTACACCACAAGGTGGTCAGGGTATTATGTCTTTGTGCATTTGTTTGTAACAGGCAAAAGGAAACGAGATAGACCCATAGTTCCTTTTGATGATATGCATAGAATCACATTCTAAGTCGATTTATGCATGTCCGTCCGTCCGTCCGTCTGTCCGTCTGTCCATGTATTTTTGTAAACAAGGTACAGTTCGCATTTATTGTCCCATCCAGATGAAATTTTGCACAAATCATTTGTTTGGCCCAAGGACGAACCCTGTTGAAATTGGAGATAATCGGTCAAAATTTAGATATAGCTCCCATATATATCTTCGTCCGATTTGCCTTTTATTGTGCACCAAACGTGTAATATCAGTCCGAATTGTATGGAATTTCGCACATACGATCAGATTGGACCTGATAATAAGTATGCCAAATTTGATCGAAATCGGTTCAGATATAGGTATAGCTCCCATATATATTCTTCATCCGATTTGCTACTTTTGTCCTCCGTAGCCGTAATATGCACCCTGTAACAACAATATTTGGAGAAACATATCAAATGCAGCTCAGAAATACCTTTGCTAAATTTTATCGAGATCGGTTCAGATTTAGATATAGCTCCCATATATAAATTCGTCCGATTTACCTTTGATTGTGCACGAAACGTCTAATATTTGGCCATATTGGACAAAATTTGGCACTTACGACCGAATTGAGTCTAGAAGCTAGTATGTCAAATTTGGTGAAGATCGGTTCAGATATAGCTATAGCTCCCATATATCTGATTTGTCGTATTTGTTACCCACAGCCGTAATATGCACTCCAACAAGTGCATACTCACGATAATTGGGGAAATATATCAAATACAGCTCAGAAATATCTTTGCCAAATTTTATCGAGTTCGGTTCCGATTTGGATATAGCTCCCATATATATCTTTATCCGATTTCAAATTAATTGTGCACCAAATGGGCAATACAAGTCCGAATTTAAATGATACAAATGCTTTGGCATATTTAGTCCTTTGAACTTTAAATTTTAATCATAGTGTGTATGACTGAATTCTCCCATAAGAACTTTTAATTGTTATGCGCAGCTCTACTAAATTATCAAAGTGGTGTAGGGTATCATAAAGTCGGCCCGGCCGACTTTAAGACTTTCTTTACTGGTACTTTTTTTTTTTTTTTTTTTTTTTTTTTGAAAAAAAAAGTCGAGAAGAAAATATTATTTTGAAAAACATTGTTAAATAATCTGGATTTCTTCTTCTTCTACAGGGTGAGATAAAACAAACTGCAACAAAGTCAAACGCAACAATTTTTACTTTTTTAAATTTTTTAAAATTCCACTTTGAACTGGAGATATAGCATCAAAATCGGAGGTACCTCCCAAAAATTTAGATTTTATATAAACATATCTATTGATCGATAACATTTACTGTCTCCAAATTTGCAATTTTGAACAAAAATAAATTTGCTAAGTTATACTAAAATCAGTTCTGATTTAGATATAGCTCCGTTATATATTTTCTTCCAATTTCGTTTATTTGATTCATCAAACACGATACGTATATCTGATTCCAATGAAATTCGGACAAAGAGACAAAATTTGGTACCAATCGGTTGAGGCTCCCATAAATATTTCGACTGATTTCATATACAGGGTGAGATTAAAAAAAAAAACTGTCAAACGCCATATTTTTTACATTCTTGTTTAAATTTTATTGAATGAAAGCAAAAAATGTCAGATGTCAAATTTTAAAATAGGTTTAGATTTGTTCGATTTGTCACCCTTGACACGAATTATAGCCTTCGAACGGCCAATGAAACCGTTACGCGCTGCCCGAATGTTGGTCTGGCGAACTTTGGTACTTTTTAGTGTCAATATTGCTTTCCAAAATTCTCCAGACACAATAGTCCAATGGATTGATATCCGGAGATTTAGGTGGCCATTTTGCGCTGGAAACGCAGCGAGAAACCTCATTTTGTAACCATTCTTGGGTGGCGCGTGCCGAGTGCGATGGTACTGAGTCCTGTTGGAATGTCCAAGGTCTGTTGCCAAAATGTTTGCGTGTCCAAGGCTTTAATGCACCCTCCAGAATATTTTCGCGCTAATATTCGGAATTTATTCTGATGTCAGAGCGACCACCGGCTATTATGGCGACCCACACCATCACCATGGCCGGCGCTTGAGTTCTGGTGGCCAACCGAAGGTGCACATTTTCACCTGACTTCTTTGGCAAGTAAACACGATCATTTTGTTTATTTACAAACTGCTGGACAACGAATGTTTTCTCATCGGAGAAAACCAAATTCGGCAATTCAACACTTTAGACCAAGCGTAGCAACTCTTTACCTCTTTTGAGTCTATTTTTTTTCTGTTGCGGTGTAAGTTCTTGCAATTTTCGGTTAAAACTGAGCTCATTTTTTAATATTTGCGGAATGGAATATTTTTCGGCCTCTTTGACAAGTAAACACGATCATTTTTGACAACGTATGTTCCCACATCGGAGAAACCTAAATTCGGCAGTTCCCCACTTTCGGCCAAGCGAAGCAACTCTTTAGCTCTTTTGAGTCTATTTTCGTTCTGTTGCGCTGTAAGTTCTAGCAATTTTTGGAATTTCAATGGCTTTATGAGCTCATTTGTCAATAGTTGCCGAATGGCATATTGCGATATGTTCAGCTCAAGAGCCAGTTTGCGGACACTGCGAAGCGGGTTTCAATCAATTTGCCTCCTTACTTTTCCAACCATGTCTGCTGATGTTGCTGTTTTCTTCCATCCACTTCCATGACGTCGGGCTACGCTGTCAGTATCACGGTAAGGAGCGATGGTATGAGACACAAAAGATTCATACACATTTAAGTACTGGAGTGCTCTAACGATAGCCACTTGTGTTTTTCCAGCCAAATAAAAAGAAATCTCACTATCACGCTTGAATTCCATCACGAATAACTTTTTTTCTGGAAAATTCTCACTAAAATGCTTTTGTACACTTGTAAACAATATAATGAACTGTCACTGGAATAATTTTAACAGCGTGTGGCTTAGAAATGACAGCAGACTGAAATTGGTTGAAGTTTTTTTATCTCACCCTGTAATATTGAAGTTTAAATTCTGTTATGCAGAGTGGGGTTATTATATACAGATTGCAATTATCGTCCTTTCCTTACGGAAATGTTCGTAATTGCAGGGTTAGGCTTGGAAGGGATAGGCCCATTGTTTTTAAAGTTTTCCGCAATATATTTAGGGATTAAAATGGACCATCAACTAAAAATGTTTCTGATTTTGCAGCCGTTATAAAACAAATGACAAACTTCTGACTTTTTATGCTGGACGAATATAGCAAAATATCGTTGGCAAGCAAATAACAAAAAAAAATCCTGATCACACAATTGAAACCAATCGACACGGAATTTTGCATGAGAGGAGAGTTAAGGGCAGCAAAGAAGTCTAGCATCTAGGATGACCATTGGATTATATTTGGCTGTAACTAACAGCACGACGGAGTGTGTAAATATTGGGCAAATATCCCTAGTCAAAGGACTAAGGGTAATATCTGGGCAGTGCTTTAAGACATAATTTCAAAATCGAAATATTGCAAAATGATTTGGACATAAGGAAACTTCTACCGTGTTGTAGTGAAGTAGGGTATCACATGGTCGGCCCAGCAAGGTACCAATTGACGAGATTTACTCTTTTCAGCCTAGATAGCATATTATTAGACATATTGGCTGGTAGGAAATTCGAAAAACAAAATCATACACTAATTATACCCTACACCACAAGGTGGTCAGGGTATTATGTCTTTGTGCATTTGTTTGTAACAGGCAAAAGGAAACGGGATAGACCCATAGTTCACTTTGATGATCTGCATAGAATCGCATTTTGAGGCGATTTATGCATGTCCGTCCGTCCGCCCTATCCAGATGAAAATTTGCTCAAATCATTTGTTTGGCCCAAGGACCAAACCTATTGAAATTGGAGATAATCGGTAAAAATTTAGATATAGCTCCCATATATATCTTCGTCCGATTTGCCTTTTATTGTGCACCAAATGTGTAATATCAGCCCGAAAGGTATGGAATTTTGCACATACAACCAAATTAGGCCTAAAAATAAGTGTGCCAAATTGGAATTCGGTTCAGATATAGCTATAGCTCCCATATATATTGTTCAACCGGTTTTTTTTTATTCTTGTCCTCCGCAGCCGTAATATGCACTCTGTAACAACACTATTTGGAGAAATATATCAAACACAGCTCAGAAATACATTTGCTAAATTTTATCGAGATCGGTTCAGATTTGGATGTAGCTCCCATATATAACTTCGTCCGATTTACTTTTTATTGTGCACCAAACGTCTAATATTTGTCCAAATTTGATGAAATTTGGCACTTACGACCGAATTGAATCTAGAAGCTAGTATGTCAAATTTGGGGAAGATCGGTTCAGATATAGCTATTGCTTCTATACATGTTGTTCATCCGATTTGTTATACAAGGTTTCCCATATTCGACGGACCCATCTGCCAACGCCATAACTTTTGACAGAGATTTCACATCGCTCAATGACATACCGCGTTTGAAGCGTCAGTCTAAGCAGATTTTTACCATGAGCCAATACACGCCACTCGAGCGCTCTGAAATAGTTGAAATTTACAAGAAGTCAATTGTGAAAACTCAACGTGCTTTTAAAACATTAAAAAAATGTGAGAAGTGCGTCTTCTAAGAACACCATTAAGCGTTTATACGAAAAATTTTCGACTGGTAAGGCTCTTTCTACTCCGAAGAGGCCATATAAAAGTCAACCAAGGCGATCGGCCGAGAATATCGCTGCCGTAAGAGCCAGTGTTGAGAGGTCCCCAAGAAAATCCCAAAAACGCCGTTTTTAGCAGTTGGGCATGGCTCGGTCCACTTTACAACGGGTTATTCGCATTAATTGTGCACCAAATGGGAAATACAAGTCCGAATTTAAAAGATACAAATGTTTCGGCATATTTAGTCCTTTGAACTTTAAATTATAATTATAATCATAGCGTGTATGACTGAATTCTTCCATAAAAAAACTTTTAATTGTTATGCGGAGCTCTTCAAAATTAGCAAAGTGGTGTAGGGTATCATAAAGTCGGCCCCGCCCGACTTTAAGACTTCCTTTACTGGTTTTCATTTTGCATATGACTAAATCGACTTCAAATATAAAAAACCGAATTTCGTCAAATAGAGACACCGCTACATCGATGAAGCACATTTTCGTCTCATCAAATGAAATATACTCTATTTAGCCATTAGGCAGAGGGTATAAAATCTCTCTCTTAGAAAATTCTAATTATTAAATTATCTGTAAGTTTTTCAAATGTAACTTTAGGAAAATGTTGATATTACAACAAATTTTTATGTCATTTGTTTAGGTGCCCCCTTTCAAAATCTAAATATAAACCGAATTTTCTCACTCCACTTATCCTCACCGATTAATTTAATTACTGCTTCCTTATACACAATTCCTTATCGTAAGCAAATGTTTACCTTATTTCGAATAAATACCAATTCTTTTACGTAAGCACTAAATTAATTATCCACCCTCACTTCTTTCAGGCTCTCATCATCGGAATACGCAAGTGTGGTACTCGAGCTTTGCTCGAAATGCTTTATTTACATCCGCGCATTCAGAAGGCCGGCGGTGAAGTTCATTTCTTCGATCGCGATGAAAACTATATGAAAGGTCTGGAATGGTATCGCAAGAAAATGCCACACTCGTTTCGTGGCCAGATAACAATAGAGAAGTCGCCCAGCTATTTTGTATCGCCCGAGGTGAGTAAATATTAAAAAACGACAATAAAAATAACAATAATCGTATTTGGTGTGAACTAAAATTAGAGAATTACATAGTTATTGTTTCACACGTTGCGTTAATGTATTCTGAAGTTTAACATGTGTGAATGTGTGTGTGTGAGGTTTTTATAAGAAATCATTTAAATTCAAGCGATTCTAGAAAATAAAATTATTTCACTTAAAACAATATCATACATATCATGCATATTGTATAGTTATGTGTCATGTATATAGATTTTAAAAGGAGTAATAACAAGTAAGCAAAGGCTATAGCCGACTATGTGATACCCTACAACACCACAATATGAAAGAAGCCCCCTTATGTCCTAATCCATTTTGGGAGATTTCGTTTTTGAAATTATGCTGTTAGTTGTTGTCGTTCATTTACAGCTGAATATAATTCAATGGTCATCCAAAATGTTAGACTTTTTTCCTGTCCTTAAATCTCTTCTCAGGCGTGCCGATTGGCTTCAATTGTGTGATCAGGACCATTTTTGGAACGAATTAGAAAATTTTCAAAAAAATAAAATCCATTAAAAATTCTTTTAAAATCTTTAAAATATCTAATATAGGAAAGTGCCGATATATGGGGGGATATACGATATTGTGGACCTATAAAGACAAATCTATGTCTGCGTGTAAAGGACTCAAAACGAACTCCTCGTGTAGATTTTCAGATAATTCAATTGGAAAAAGTGGCTAAAATCATCAAAATACCGAATACAGGGGAGTACCGTTATATGGGGGATATACGATATTGTGGACCTATATAGACAATTCCGTTTCAGGGGGTAAAGTGCTGACAAAGAACTCCGTGTGCGGATTTTCAGACAATACGATTTGAAAATGTGGCTAAAATTATCAAAATACAAAATACTGGGGTACTGTTATATGGGAGCTATACGTTATCGTTAACCTATATAGAGAATTCTCTGTCGGGGGGTAAAGACAATTCCGACACTTCATTTTGAGGAGGTAAAATGCCCACAAGGGACTCCTTTGTGGATTTTCAGACAATTCCGTTGAAAAATGTGGGTAAAATCAACAAAATACCAAATATCGGGGGTACCGTTATATGGGGGCTATACGATATTGTGGACCTATATAGATAATTCTCTGCCGAGGTATAAAGTACCCACAAGGAACTCCTTGTGTGGATTTTCAGACAATTCCATTGAAAAGTGTGGCTAACATCATCAAAATACCGAATATCGGGGGGTACAGTTATATGGGGGATATACGATATCGTGAACCTATATAGACAATTCTTTTTGAGGAGGTCAAATGCCCACAAGGGACTCCTTTTGTGGAATTTCAGACATTTCCATTGAAAAATGTGGCTAAAATCATCAAAATTCCGAATATCGGGGGTACCGTTATATGGGGGCTATACGATATCGTGGACCTATATAGATAATTCTCTGCCGAGGTATAAAGTACTCACAAGGAACTTCTTGTGTGGATTTTCAGACAATACCGTTGAAAAATGTAGGTAAAATCATCCAAATACCGAATATCGGTTGGTACCGTTATATGGGGGCTATACGATATCGTGGACCGATATAGCCCATCTTCGAACTTGACCTGCCTGCAGACAAAAGAGAGATCTGTGCAAAATTTTAGCTTCCTATCTTAATTCGTTTAGACTGTAGCGTGATTACAACAGACGGACGAACGGACGGGCGGACAGAGCTAAATCGATATTCGGTGTTTTGTTGATTTTAGCCACATTTTTCAACACAAGGAGTTCCTTGAGAGTATTTTATTTCCTGGAAGAGAATTATTTATATGGGTCCACGATATCGTAAATCCCCCATACAACGGTATACCCCGATATTCGCCATTTTAATAATTTTAGCCGCATTTTTCAACGGAATTGTCTGAAATTTACACAAGGAGATCCTTGTAATTACTTTATCCCCTGGAAGAGAGTTATCAATATAAATCTACAATATCGTATGGCCCCCATATAACAGTAACTCCCGATATTCGGTATTCTTATGATTTGAGCCAAGTTTTTCAATGGAATTGTCTTAAAGTCCACACAAGGAATTCTTTTTGAGTACTATATCACTTAGAAGAGATAAGTCTTAATAGGTCCACGTTTTAGTACAGCGCCCATGTAACGGTACCCCAGATATTCGGTATTATCATGATTCTTGCGACATTATTCACCGGAATTATTTCAAATTTCGTATAAAAATTTCGGAATCGTTACTACAGCCTATCAGTAGTGGGATTCTCTAACTAATTTTTGAGTTACCGACAAAAATCGGTAACTTTCAGATGCAAAATTTTGTTATAAAAAACAAAAAAAATTGACAACATTGGTATCTATTGGTAGGTCTAAGCGGCGACTTTCATTTCGCCGCTAGCTTATCGAAAATTTTCGTTAATTACTGAAATTATAACCATTTGAATTTTACAGATTTTTTTCGATAACTCAGAAAATGATTTACAGAATTCCACTACAGGTTTCATTCGAGCGGTATTTTTTCACAGAATTTTTTTTTGGAAATTTTTCAAGTGTTCTCCCAATGGTGGAGGGTATCAAATGTTTGGCCCGGCGGGACTTAGCTGCTTTTTTACTTGTTTCCGTTTATTTTTTGTCAAAGAATTCATTATAAAAACCAAATGAAAAATTCAATATTTTTAAAACGTTTGATCTTTTCACAAGAGTGCAAACCCTTGTAACCCCAAGTTCTATTTAATTATTATTATGTAAAAACGAACAGCAATTATATGTCAGGTTTGATAATACTAATCCATGTACAGACTGGCCCACTTCAAAATCCTTTTCTTAAATAATAAGTCAAATAACACGAACAAATGTGGCCGCACACCATTCAACTTCAAATCAAAGCAACTTCATTGCAATAATTATTGCTATTCAACGGTAAAATGGCATAAATAATTGTAAAATCACATACACACATAGAAACACACATACATATATTCATGTGTATACACATATTTGTTAGTGTTTGTGCTTGGCAAATCAAATGTGTCTGCCATAATTTCATTGGCTTTGTAGCACCATTTCGCGTCTGATTATGAATGAATTGAATGGAACGAAACGAAACGAGCGAAAAGGATGCGGAGAGTTGTGACGTTGCTCATTCGTTTCAGATCAAAGCACGGCTAAAACTTTCATCTCAATTAGCTAATTAATGAATGAACAATAATTATAGCCGCCGTCAAAGCCATATATACCAGTAATCACATACACAGTTTTCGCATAACATTTTACACAGATGTACACGTTCGTGTCCACATCATTCCCGATGGGACATTGGTCATTCATCTTTGGTACGAGAACATGTACAATTAGGGATAATCAACGGTTGTTGACTCCGTATTTAAATTGCAGTTGACATTACAAAACACAAAATTCATTTCATTATTTCATCAGTCACGATTTGGAAATTTTAGGATTAAAGCGGATTGCTGCAATACCTACAATGAACAATGATGGAGTTGAAACTGTAAATATATGTTGTATGCTGGAGCAGTTTTTTCAGCTCAAGTAGAAGATACAATTTCACAAAGAATGAGGAAAATTTTTTTAGAACCAAATATAGATTTCATGATTGGATAAGTAAATACGAAATAATTATAACATTTTGCGACAGAATTTAATTTTTTCAATAGAAAACACATATACAGGATGAGATAAAAACAAGCTAGGCCAAAATTTGAATACCCTCCGCCATTTGGAACGAATTTGGAAATTTTCAAAAAATAAAGTCCTTAAAAAATGCTGTTAAAATTTTAAAAATACCGAATATAGCCGTTATATTGGGGTCTATACGACGTGGACCTACATAGGCCTTGTTTGTCATAAGCCATTACCATATTCAAATTCGAAACATGAAATAAACGGTGAATGATGTAGCTAAAATCATTAAAATATTGTATAAAGGGAGGTACCGTTATATCCGAGCTGTGCGAAGACCAGGACCAGCATAGACAATTTTCTGTCACAGGATATAGCATCCATTACGAACGTCAAATACGACATCTCAAAAAATGTCGGTGGGTATTGTACCTACCGAATATAGGGAGGTACCGATATATGGGGCCTATACGAAGACCTGTACCTGCATAGACAATTTTCTGTCACAGACTTAAGTTTCCATTGCGAACTCTAAATACGTAATTTGAAACAATTCCGTTAAATAATGACGCTAAAATCATCAAAATACCGCATGTCGGGAGGTACCGTTATATGGGGGCTATACGAAGAAGTGGACCTGCACAGACAAATTTCTGTCTTAGGATGTAGTATTCATTAAGAATCTCAAATATCAAATTTGAAACAATTCCGATGAATAGTGTCGCTAAAATCATCAAAATATCGAATATCGGTAGGTACCGTTGTATGGGGGCTCTACGAAGACGTGGACCTGCACTGATAATTTTCTGCCATAGGCTGTAGTATCCAATTCGAACCAAAGTTGAAACAATTGCGGTGAATAATGTCGCTAAAATCATCAAAATACCGAATATCGGGAGGTACTTATATATGGGGGCTATATGAAAACGTGGACCTACATGGCCCATTTTCGAACTTAAGCTGCCTACTAGGAAAATAAACATGTGTGCAAAATTTAAGCCTTCTATCTCAATTCGCTCGAAAGATAGCGTGATTGCAACAGACAGACAGACAGACGGACAGACGGACATGGCTAAATCGACTTAGAATTTTACGCTAATCAAGAACATATATACTTTGTTGGGTCTGACATGAGTATTTCGAGGAGTTACAAATGGAATGACAATGTTAATATACCCTTCATAGTATGGTGGAGGGTATAAAAACTGCAAAAATCAAACGCCAAAATTTTTACTTTTTGTCGTTGCAAAATGGTCAGTCTTAATCCCTTTATTGTTGTTTTTATAAAAACAACGTTTGTTTATTAGTGCAGAACGATGGTAATGTTTACCAGGGGGTAAGGCAGGGAATACCTAGTTTTCGG